TCCTCATCACGATGCCAATCTTAGGGATTCCCTTAGTTTTTGAGGGCGGATCCCTAAGATTGTCATCGCCTTTTGGCGTGTCAATCTTAGGGATAGGGATACGTTCGAGGCTGGTAAAACACGCCGCCCAGGCCTGCGCGCCGCCGGGCGGGTCGCCACCCAACCTCCCGTGGTCGACGAGGGGCCCGCAGCAGGCCCAAAGAAGAGGGACAGCGCTCGCAATCAGCACACGGAACATGATCGACCCACGAACCCGGAAAGGAATATAGAAATGCAACGCATGGAACCCACACACGGAGTCCTGACCGAAGTGATCTGGATCTTAGGCTCGAGCAGCCTGAACACATAGTAGCTGCCCCAGAGCTAATCGACAGGGGGACATGCCAGGAGCACGGGACAGCGTTCGCAATCAACACACGGAGAAGTCCTCCCTTCCCGTCCTGGCCCTCTCTCCGCGAGGCCGCTGCTGCTCGACCAGGATCGTCGAGTCTGGGAGCGCACAGGAGAAGCAGACAGCACGAGCACGGAAGTCGTTGTGCGACCATGAGGAGCAGCGCCAACTAAGCAGCAACGGAGCTTCTCTAGACACGGCGAGCATCGGCCACGAACACATTCCCAGGCCTGAATGTAAGGAACGCCCCTAAAACCAGAGCCCTTCCTGAGCCCAAGTGTGGTCTGTACCACAGCGCATACACTGAACACGAGCACCCTGGCAAACAAATGGGCAAAGAGAAACGGAAACGTGGAGTGGTCCGTGCAGGTGTCCAGTGACATTGCAACTATAGGCTTATACGGCAAGCAACCTCAACCCCTCTTTCTGTCAGCCACACGATGCTCCTCCGTATCCTCCGGTCCTACACTCCTTACATCAAATGGCCACTGGACCTCGCCAGGGGTGCGCTTTGACCCGAGTCTGGGGGCGTGGCAAGGAACAGCATCCTGGACGCAGACTCCAAAAACTTGGAACTCAGACCTTCAAGCTTTCCCTCCTCTTCTTCCTCCTCCTCCTCCTCCTCCTCATTCTCATCATCGGCATCATCAGCATCAGCATCATCATCACCATCAGCATCAGCATCAGCATCATCATCAGCAGCACCTTCATCAGCATCATCATCAGCATCATCAGCAGCATCATCGTCATCATCAGCGTCATCATCACCAGCCGCATCAGCAGCATCATCATTTGCATCATCATTTGCATCATCATCAGCATCATCAGCAGCATCATCATAATCATCATCATGTGCATCACCATCATCGTCACCAGCATCATTATCATCATCAGCATCACCAGCAGTAGCAACAGCTTCATCAGCATCAGCATCATAATTGTCATGATCATCATTATCATCAGCAACAGTATCATCGTCATCTACACAATCACCATCATCATCCTCATCATCATCATCATCGTCGTCGCCATCATCGTTCGCATCATTAGCTTCATCATCATCAGCATGACAATCAGCATCATCAGCATCACCAGCAGCATCAGCAGCATCAGCATCATCAGCATCATCATCATCATCCTCATCATCAGCATCATCATCCTCATCCTCATCCTCATCCTCATCCTCATCCTCATCCTCATCCTCATCATCATGATCATCATCATCACCATCATCATCATCATCATCATCATCCTCATCATCATCATGATCGTCATCCCCATCGTCCTCCTCCTCCTCCTCCTCCTCCTCCTCCTCCTCCTCCTCCTCCTCCTCCTCCTCCTCTGCCGCCCCCCCCCCCCGCGCGGCGTGGTCGATGAGCTTCTCGGCGGCCTCGCGCGGCGCCACCGCCCCGTGGCGGCGAGCAGTCTCGAGGCGGAAAAGGAGGAGCGCTCGCAGAGCCCCCCGCCTCCCCCCCTGAGAGTCACGTGCGGACCCGGGGCCTGCCGCTCGGGCCAAGGAGGAGGAGGAGGGGGAGGAGGAGGAGGAGGAGGAGGAGGAGGAGGAGGAGGAGGAGCGGGAGCTCGACCACAGGAAGCCTTCCACACGAGACCCACCCCTGAGATCTGAGGACGTCCATGGAGCCCGCCATCGCCGTCGCCAAACCATCGAACAGCGAAAGGAAGCCCAGGGCACCCCCGAGGCAGGCAGGGTGCTTCTCGGCGTGGGCCTCCGCTGCACGCTGTGGAAGCATACGGTTCGGGCAGGTGCCCAGCGAGAGCCCGCGTTTGGAAAAGGAGGAGCCCTCCATCCGCCACGTGCTGCACAGGCTGGCACGTCTGGTCGCAGTATCCGCGGAGGCCCCCACGGAAAGCTCTGCTCCGAAGCGGAACCGCGATCCATTCGCACGACTGCTGCGGCAGAGTCTGCCTCTGGGGTCGCTTTCTGGGCCCCCCCGCCCTGACAAAACGGCTCGGGATGAGAATGTCTGACTCTCAGGACCGCTCGCCTCGCCGACAGGTCCAGACATCCGACGTCGCGATGTTTCGTTTGCAACCTGGCTCCCCAGATGTCTGGACCCCTTCCCAGGGATCGCCTGCATCGTGAGTCCCTTCTTTGACAGTCCTGGGGCTCGGTGAGGGTCCCAGGGAGCCGAGAAAGGCCAAAAAATCCCGCGCCGCAACTTTTCTCGCGACGCGAGGACGTCAGGGGGGGTGCGGGAAGGGGGTGCCCTGGCGCCAGACCAAGGAAGTTCGCACAGACCTCCCAGAGGTTGTGTCCACGTCGTCCACCCCCGAGAGACGCTGCACAGCACGACTTCTCACAGGCTAACTCTTAGAGGCCTCCTAGATGGGGTCCGAGAAGATGGGGTCGAAGGATCGCGCCGCATCGCCAATGCGTCGCCGATGTATCAGCGATGCATCGGCGATGCATCGGCGACGTCGGCGATACATCGGCGACGTCGGCGTTGGGAAACACCTGTGCCCCTGACCGGGCCGCGCGAGTCCCTGGCCGATCTCTGCGGCCTCGGCGGCTTCATGGGTGCTCCTCCGACGGACTCCGCCGCGTCGAGTCTCGCGTGGCCGCGACGCCACCCACGGGACGCTGAATGATACACTATCGGCGGCGAGCGAGGGGGGAAGTGAGAAGGAGAAGGCCTTCGCAGAAGGCGGCGGGACTTCACAGAAGCCCTCGCGCCTTATGAGAAGTTGTTTTTGTCTTCGGGGAAGGCTTAGAAAGCTTCTCAGAAGGTCTGGGGACTTCCGAGCCTTCTCAGAAGGCGCGCTCTTTCTCACATCCCCCCCTCGCTCGCCGCCGATACTAGTACTACGTGCTGATGCTGGAGGCGCACGTCCAACACGAACATAGAGTAGACAAATATTATAGTATATCGTCTCTCGAGCAGCATGGCCAGAAAGCACCTGCAACGAAACTTATACTGTAGATGTCTGAACACGCACGTCGCCCTCCGCGTCGCCCCTTCCCCTCCCCCCTCCCCTTTCGGTCGCGCTCGGCAACGACCGATCGCCATTTCAAGCCGGTCGCGACCGATACAGGAAGGCACAGCAACATGAGTAGCGACCGCTCGCGTCGGCCGCGACTGGACAGTTCCAATATCCCATGATCATGGTGAGCCGCCCTTAACGGCCCTGGATAATGGGCAAAGTTTCCACCACCACTACTATATGTAGGACGGGGGAGAATGAGGAGGTCCTCCTCCTCCTCCTCCTCCTCCTCCTCCTCCTCCTCCTCCTCCTCCTCCTCCTCCCCTTCCTCCTCCCCTTCCTCCTCCCCTTCCTCCTTCCCCTCTTCCAGACCTCATGGGGAGGACGAGCCGTGAGGTTGCGCCGCCCCTCCCCTCTGGCTTGCTCGCGCGGCGAGGAGCTCGCCATCGGAAGGCCCTTCGCCGCTTCTGCGGCCTCTGGGAGGCCCTCGCCAGGCCTGGGGCCACTCCGGGCAGGAGGGCCCGGCAGTCGGATCGACGAGTCGCATCGGCGATCGGAATGCATCGGATCGGCGGAAATCGGCGGACAAGCCAGTCGGGAGAAGTCGAGTCGGCGGCACTCGGCAGGCAAGTGAGGCCTCCGTTGAGCAATCGGAAATGGGAACCGGATCGAATCGAATCGGAGGGGTCGAGATGAGGCATGTCAGGACGAAGAGACAGTCCAGGTGGATGGGGTCCAGACCTCTGGGGAGTCAGGCTGCGAAAGGATCACGACGTCGGATGCCTGGGCAGTCCCAGCCCCGCATCCCCCACGGTCGGGTGGATCGGCGGCCCGTCTTCCAAACCAGCTCTGGAAAACTGTGCCTCTCGCCTCGATGCCCTCGCCGTGCGGCGGAGGAGCCGCGAACCCCCCGAGGGAGGAGGAGGAAGAAGAAGAAGACGAGGAGGAGGAGGAGGAGAAGGAGGAGTAGAAGGCCGCGACTCGGTTCCGTGGGCTGCGTCGCAGTCGGAGGAGGAGGAGGAGGAGGGCGAAGGCGAGCAAGGGCGGGGCGCTCACGTCGGGGATCAAAACCATGACCTCGAAATCGAGCAGCAGCCCCGGACTCGAACTGAAAGGCCACGGAGTGGAAAAGTCCCTTCGGGCTTCGTCACCAGACAGCCCCCGTCTTGATATGTTTCCACACCGAAACTGCCCAGAGGCCTGAACCCCTTCCCAAGGACCGGCTTTTCACCCGACCCGTTTATTGAAGGCTCCAGAGCCCAGATACCGAAAACGGACAGGAACCGAGCGAAGTTGTCGCGGTCTGGGGATCTTCCGCGCGCTCACGCTCACGGGCTGCATCATCATCATCATCATCATCATCATCATCATCATCATCATCATCATCATCATCATCATCAGCAGCAGCAGCAGCAGCATCAGCATCATCATCATCATCATCATCATCAGCATCAGCATCAGCATCAGCATCAGCATCAGCATCAGCATCAGCATCATCATCATCATCATCATCATCATCATCGTCATCATCATCATCATCATCATCATCATCATCATCATCATCATCATCATCATCATCCTCATCCTCATCCTCATCCTTATCCTCATCCTCATCATCCTCATCCTCATCCTCATCCTCATCCTCATCATCATCATCATCATCATCATCAGCAGCATCATCAGTATCGTCATCGTCATCATCATCATCATCATCATCATCTTCAGCATCATCATCAGCATCATCATCACCACCACCATCATCATCAGCAGCATCATCAGCAGCATCATCATCAGCATCATCATCGTCACCATCACCATCACCATCACCATCCCCATCGTTCTTATCATCAGCGCCACCACCATCATCATCATCAGCATTAGCATCATCATCAGCAGCAGCATCATCATCATCATCAGCAGCAGCATCAGCATCATCAACATCATCGTCATCAGCAGCATCATCATCATCCTCATCATCAGCATCATCAGCAGCCTCAGCATCAGCAGCAGCATCAGCATCATCAGCATCATCAGCATCATCATCAACAGTAGCATCATCATCTTTATCATCGTCATCATCAGCATCATCAAGAGCATCATCATTACCATCATCATCATCCCCGTCCTGATTCCCGTCCTCCTCCTCCCTCCTCTCCTTCTAACTTCGCCCCTCCTCCTCCTCCTCCTCCTCCTCCTCCTCCTCCTCCTCCTCTGCCTCCTCCTTCTCTTCCTCCTCCTCCTCCTCCTCCTCCTCCTCCTCCTCCGCCTTCTCCTTCCTGGCAAAAGACGCACAACGCCACCGGGAACGACCCTGCCGTCCTCGTGGTGGTGCTCCTGGCCGTCCTCCTTGATGAAGCGGATGAACTCCTGGCCGCGGCAACGTGTTGCCAGGAGGTGGCCCTGGCAAAATCTGTCTCCAGCTTTGTGCAACATTATTGGAGCCTCGTGGAAGCGCCGAGCGAAAGGCTCAGCAACAGGACGAGAGCCCAAACAGACGTGGCGCAGAGCACTGGTCACGGAAGCTCTCGGAGGACCCCTGGGCCCCTCTCTTCGGGCCCTCTTGGCCTGCGTGGGGGCTTTGCCGGGACTTTCTCGGTATTGATATTCGCAATTCCCGTGTTACGGAATTGTGGCAGGGCCATCGTGGGTAAGGCATCGCCTTGGACGACCGAAATGGGTGGGGAAAACATTGGTACGATACCCAGTAACAAATGTTGTCCAAAAACGACGGCGGCCGCTGTTGGGCAGGCGGCCGTCTGTCTCAAATGGACAACGCCCGCGGCGGCACCGCCAGCGAGTTCTATTCAAACGAACTGGGAATACGTTTGGTCTTCGTGACAGGACCCCTGCAAGGATCCATCTTGTGCAGTTTTTCACCCCAGCTCCGTTTTTGACGGTCTGGCGGCCCGAGATCGGCCCCTGGAGGCCGAAAAAGGCAAAACCTGATCGAACCCAGCATCTTGAACCCCGCTACACAAGGGTTTAAGGGGTGCAGGCCACCTGCAGACCCCCCACATTTCGAATCCTTTTGAAAGATCCCCACACAAGGAATCCCCTTTGCAAAGGCTGCAACAAAAAGATGTTGATCGTGATGGATTCGCAGAATAAAAATGACGGCCGTCACCGGTGTTCCTGCCTTTATCATATTTCTCCCTGTGGAAATAACGCTGCTCTAATGGTTGTCATCTTTTCGGGGTTTCCTGATAATCTTCCACGGCGCAACGACGCTGCCCCTGGAAATCTTTCGCAATGAATGCAATGCTGGGTGGCACATCGTCCGAAGCTGCCCACAGAAGGAGTCCCTTGTGTAGAGGCTGCTACAGACAAGGATTATGAGCTTGGAGTCTGCGCAAAAAGAATGACTAACGTGTCCCATAAGCTTCTGACTGGATTTCTATGTTCAGTTTGACCTGTTCTCCTGTAGCGCTTCCGCGGACCCACTGCTCTGCCCCTGAAAACCTGTTGCACTTAAGTTTCTATGTGCATGAGATCGCCGCAAAGGAATCCCTCTGCAGAGGCCACTGTAAAAGGATTTCAGTGGGGAGGCCACTGCAGATCCCCCACGGATCAAATCCTTGTACCAGACCCCACAAAATAAATCGCTGTTGCAATAAGATTGTGCGTGCTGGGGATCTGCAATAAAGATAACGTCAGACACATGGCTCTCCGCATTTCCAAATTTTCCTATATAGACAACGCCGCTTCCTCGTTGTGACATGACAGCGCCCCACGCCACTCCTCTCCTTTCCTCTCCTCCTCCCCCCCCTCCTCCACCCTCCTGGTCCTCCCGCCTTCCGTCATTGCCTCTGCCCTCCGCATGACCATGTCGGCACACCCCTCACACGCTTCGTGGCCCCAGAGGGAGCTCCGCCGAAGGCCAGTGGGAGGGTTCCGCGCCTACTACAGCACACCCCTCACACGTTTCGTGACGCCATAGGGAGCTTCGCAGAAGGCCCCGGTGGCAGGGTTCGCATGGAGCCACCGCACACCCACTTCAGCACACCTCGCACACGCTTCGTGACAGTGAGCTCCGCCGTTGGTGTGGCAGGGTTCGCATGGCGCCACCGCGCCTACTATAGCACACCCCGCACACGCTTTGTGGCCCCATAGGTAGCTCCGCCGAAGGCCCCAATGGCAAGTTTCGCATAGCGCCACCGCACTCGTTTCGGCACACCCGTGGCAAGGTTCTCACGGCGCCTTTGCACCCACTCCGGCACACCCCTCACACGCTTCGAGGCCAAATAGGGAGCCCCGCCGAAGGCCCCAGTGGCAGGGTTCGCATGGCGCCACCGCACTCGCTTCGGCACACCCCTCACACGTTTCGTGACCCCATAGGGAGCTTCGCCGAAGGCCCCAGTGGCAAGGTTCGCATGGAGCCGCCGCACACCCACTTCAGCACACCTCGCACACGCTTCGTGACAGGGAGCTCCTCCGTTGGTGTGTATATGTGTGTGTATATATATATATATATGTATATGTATGTGCGTGTGTGCGTTTGTGCGTGTGTGCGCGTGTGTGTGTGCGTGTGCGCGTGCGTGTGCGAAGAGGAGGAAGAGGAGGAGGAGGAGGAGAAGGAGGGGGAGCTGCCCCGCCGCCCCACTCCATCGCGACTTCGCCCGCGGTCTGCCCAGGCCACCACCCCGGCGGAGGGTGCCCCTGCACCAGTCAAGCAACGCACGGCGGCGACCGACCCCGAGCCACCCATCGCAGCTACGCAGGAGGCCGAGGATGCCCGCCTCGCTCTCGTCCAGCGTGTGACTGATATCCGTGCGCGCGGGGCCCCCTCTTCGAAGGAAGCCACCGAGGCCCAGCGCAAGTGGCATCACGTTAACGGTCTCGCGATACTGGGCGGCTTCCACGCCGACCCCAACCTGTACAACGCCGAGCAGCTGAAGGACTTCCTGGTCACCATCACGGGCGCATGGATATCTATACGACTACCCTTCGGGTAATAAGGAGGTGTGGGGGAACTGAAAACCCACTGACAACAACTGCGAAGACTGTGATGGTGATGAGATGGCGCCATTGATCTCACGATTTGCAATCGATCTCACCATCGATCTCACTATCGCTCTCGATATTGATCGCACTATCGATCTCACTATCGATCTCACGATCGATCTTAATATCGATATGATAGGAGATCTCACGATCGACCTCACACAAAAGATCTCACGAGACACCATCGGGACACCACGATGGGGCACCACCAGCCACGGCGGGTCACCCCCAGATCTGTTGTGATCGATCTCACAATCGATCTCACGATCGATCTCACGATCACGGTCGATCACGCAATTGATCTCACGATCGATGTCACAACTGATCTCACGGGCTACCATCGAGACACCACGGCGGGACACCCCGAGCCATTGTCGGGACACCCCGCGCCACCGACGGGGCACCACGCGCCACCGACGGACCCCCACGCCACCGACGGGGCAACCCGGGATCGATCTCACGATCACGATCGATCACACAATCGATCTCACTATCGATCTCACGATCACGGTCGATCACGCAAGTGATCTCACCATCGATTTCACAACTGATCTCACGGGATACCATCGAGACACCAAGGCGGGACACCCCGAGCCACCGTCGGGACGCCCCGCGCCACCGACGGGACACCCCGCGCCACCAACGGGACACCCCCGGCAACCGCGCGCCAGGGGGGGGGGGCAGACAATCGGCTCCAGAGCCCCTGGCCACGGCAGCATCATTCCGCCCGTGCGCCCACGCAGCTTCGCCCCACCCGCACGCGCGACACGAACATGAAACCGAAACCGATTTCCCGGTGGGGGGCTCTTCGTTCCACTGCGCTCTCACCCCCCCGACCTCCGACCTGTCCAAATGCGTGACCCCCCCCCCTCACACAGTCGCAAGACCCGCGTTGCCCCCAGGCGTGACTCGCCTCAAGAGGGTCGCGCCCTGCCCGCCCTATCAGCCGCGGCCACCTCCAGGACCCCAAGACCCCGCCCGTGGGGCCAAAGGCGCGCTGGCCCCCTCTTGGCCTGCACCTGCCTTGCTCCCTCCTGCGCGCGCGTCCTCGTGCTGGCACCCAGCGCGCTTTTCTGCGCCCCAGGGCTGTCCCTCCCCGGCACCCGCCTGGGCTGGGCCTTTGCTTTGGCTCCGCCCCTCCGCCACCGCGGTTCCGCCGCTGCGGCTCGCTGCTGCGCCCCGTCTCGTCGGCACGTGCTGAGCACTGCTCCCTCGCCTCGCCTCCCCCCCCCGGAGGAGGAGGAGGAGGAGGAGGAGGAGGAGGAGGAGGAGGAGGAGGAGGAGGAGGAGGAGGAGGAGGAGGAGAGGGAGGAGGAGGAGGAGGACGAGGAGGAGGAGGAAGGAGGAGGAGGAGGAGGAGGCGGAGGACCCCCCGCCTCTCCCCCACCCCTCGCGCCCCCCGCGAGCGACCGGGTTGCTCCCCCTGTGGGCGTATCCCAAAGCCCGCGCCGCGTGATCGGAGCCGGCCGCGCGCGCCGTCGTGCCCGACGCTCTCCGCCTAAAAACGCTGCGACGGGGCCGCGACGTCAAAAAGTGTGGGCAGAGCCATCTGTATGCAAACGCCGCGTGCGGCATGTGTGTAACCCTTTGATGTTTAGGTCGGGCCTGTCCCCTTGCAGGGGGATTTTGGACGAACAATAAAAAATATTCAAACAATGGTCAACATATGCCCAACAATGCTATAAAAAATGCTCCACCGACTATATGTTTGACTATTTTTTGACATTCCCCCTGTACAGGGACAGGCCCGACTTAATTTTATATGTAGAACCCGAACCATCATCCAAACCCACATCCAAACCTCGCGACGGCGACGGCGTCCGGGGCGTCCAAGAGATGGGGCTGCTCAGAGGGGGTTTGCAAGTCGTGGCCCGAGGCACGTGCGCGGCCCAGGGGGGGGCCAAGGGACGCATTTATGCAAGAAGAGGGGGCCATGAAATCCAGGAAGATACCATGACCACGGCCATGATATCCAGCACCCCCAAGCCGTCAACCCCTCGACGCCTTGTGGCTTCCGGATCATACTGCGGCCCTCCGGCAGCCGTTCGGGACGACCTGGGCACCCCTGGGCAGCCCTCCACGGGGCGCAGCTGAAAGTGCCCCCGACCCTCCTCCCCTCCACACCTCCCCTCCCCCCCTCCTCCTCCCCGTTCCCGACATGGGCACGGGAAAACTGGGCACAATGCCCGACCTCCTGTCTCGAGCGGACCACGCCCGTGGCAGCACCAGGCAGCGCACCCTGCCCAAAATGGACAGGGACCTGCTGTCGCCATTCTTCCCGCACTTACCCACCCAGACATCCGAGGTCTCGATGTTTGTCTAAATACGGGCTCCCAGAGTCCCGACCCGTTCCCCAGGGCCGGTGTTTCATCCCCTACAGTCGGGGCCTTGACCTAAGGAAACCCAAATAAGGAACGAGGCCCCTTTTTTTCATACGTTCAGCCTGGATCTCCTATCGAAAACAGAGGGAAAGCCTGAGGCAAGCTGCGAAACACTTAAGGAACGCGGAGCCCCTCCCCAACGCAAAGGGTTCCTTCTTCAGGGCCCCGACTGTAGGGTCTGGGGAGGGGCCCAGGAGGCCGAACACAGTGAAAAGACCTCAGTCTTGCTCTTGTGCAGTGCGTTGGGCCTCTGGGCATGCCGATCCTCCAGAGCTGGCCGGCGACGGCGGCGGCGCCGAGCAGGCAAAATCCAGAGCACGGCGGCGGAGGGCACGGCGCGCGGAGGAAGCCCCATGGGCGCGGAACAAACGCGGCCTGGCCCCGCAGGGCAGAAGAGTGCCAGACCCTCACTAGAGGCCTCCGAATAGGTAGTTGCTGGGGTCGGAGGAGGAGGAGGAGGAGGAGGAGGAGGAACAGATGGGGGGTCTGAATAGGTAGTTTCTGGGGTCGGCGAACCGCGCCAAAATCGCCAGTGCATCGACGCCATCGGCGTGGCTCTACCTGGAGCCGCATCGCCGAGGCGTCGGCGATGCGCAGCGATCCTCCTCCGACCCCATCCACTCGTACACCCCCGTCTAGGAGGAGGCCCAGACGCACGGCTCGGGCAGCAGAAGCCTTCGCTGCAGGCGCTGCCTGGTGGGGGGGGGGCCGAACCATGAGCTCGGGGCGGCGTCTCGAGGCCCTCTCGGGCCCTCTTTGGGGCGACCTTGGGGGCCTCACTGGACCGTCCTGGAGCGTCGGAAGCCCGAAAAGGCGAGCACGCAAAAAGATTGTCAGAAGCCGCTCTGGGAAAACCAGGATCTGCATATCTCGGGGCCCCAGTGTCGGGAGCGGCCAAGAGGGGGGTGTCCAAGAGGGGGGGTGCAAATCATGGCCGGCGGCATGTGCGCGGCCCAGGGGGGGGGCCAGGGACGTAATGAAATAAGAAGAGACGCCATTAAATCTGGGGAAATATCATGGCCCACGCCATGATATCCCCCCCCTAGTCATCACCCCCCTCTTTTCCGCCCCCGACAGTGGGGGGGGCACCTGGGACGATCCGGGACGCACCACGGTCCTGTCCAGAGGCGCGCGGCGGGGGGGAGCGGACAACGGCGCTGTGTGGACCTGCCCTCTGGCCCACATCAGCCGGCCGTGGGAACCGCTCACGCCTGCGTGGAACCCACCACCGAAACTGTGCGAGTAGGATGCGGAGGAGGAGGAGGAGGAGGAGGAGGAGGAGGAGGAGGAGGAGGGGAGGAGGAGGAGAGGAGGAGGAGGAGGGAGGGCAGGAGGGGGAGGGGGAGGAGGAGGAGAGGAGGAGGAGGAGGAGGAGGAGGAGGAGGAGGAGGAGGAGGAGGAGGAGGAGGAGGAGGAGGAGGAGGAGGAGGAGGAGGAGGAGAGGAGGAGGAGGGGGGGGCCAGACCTTCTGGCAGCAGGGAACCAAAACTCGACGGGCGTTGTTCTTCAGCAGTTCGGCCTCCAGGGGCGAAGTGAACGACCCGCAGCGGAACACCAGCCCCACAGATGGGCTCGGGAGCTCTGGGGAGGACCACGTCGCGAAAAACGACCACAGCGGAAGTCTGGGGAGGACAGAAATCCCATGGTGCGATGATGCACCCGACTCGTGCCGTCACCGACCTGCAGCCGAGCGCAGCGGCAAGGAGGCTTCTAGACTCTGCGGGAGTCAAGCAAAGGAGAAGCCGCTCGTCGTAGTCGATCTTGCCGTCGTGGGATGTGTCAGCCTGCGGGCGCTGCGGGTCGGTCGCGGGCAGGCTCATCAAAGGGGCTTACATGCGAACCCTACCCCTACCCCCCACGATTTCTGAGGGGGAGGGTGGGGTTCACTTCGTTCGGGAGCTCCCGAGCGAAGTGAACCCCACCCTCCTTCTCAGAAATCGTGGGGGGTAGGGGTAGGGTTCGCATGTGGCCCCCTACATCATCACATCGCTGACAGCAGTGCATGCCACTAATTGAGAAGCGGCGGACCGAAAAGAGGCCCAGGACAACTGTCGGGCCCAAAGGTTGCAGCAAACGCTGGGCCAGCTTCGCGTGCACCGGCCAGTGCCAGTGCACTCGCGGATCACGAGAAACTGCGCCAGCGGAGGAGCCGCTGGCTCAAGGCTAGTGAGGGAGGTGTGCTAATGGCTGGCGCATCTCCATGCCAGATTTGGATAGCCCTCGCTCGCTAAGTTAGCGTCGGGAGTGCGAGGTCCGAGCCTCATGAACTACCTGGTTCTGCACACAGCCCACTGGACTGTTGCCTGGACGCTCCAGGCATTGCGCAAACAAGGGAGAACCGTGCCACTCCAGCTATCAATGGCTCCGTGAGGGGCATAACGCACGCTCCAGGAATAACTGCTCAAATGCGAAGTCATGTAAAGGAATCCCAGTCACCCCTGGAAGAGTCGGACATGAGAACTGTCGTGAAACCTGTGCCCACAGCTTCTTCCATGGGACGGGCATCCGCTTTTGTACTCTCGGGCCGCTCTCGTTCAGCTGCGCTTCCGCGAGACCCCTGGGCCGAACAGGCGAGGATGGGCTGTGCAGCCAGGTACGGGCAGAACGAACAAGGAGGCGCGAGCAACCTTGATGAACCACTGCGTCCTCACTATCGCGGTTGACTGAATCATCCCTTTGCGGTACGCGGTACAGACGTTTTCCCGACAGGCTTGCTCACGTAGTGGTGCAGAGGCCGGAGGAGCGCTTGCCGACCTGTTGAGCTGCCGACGTGCCACTGCACGGCCAGATCGCCAAAAAAGCACGTCGGGGTGCCTCGTCTGTGCCGCTCCGTCGCCACCCCTGCACGCCTGTGCCAAAATGTAGTGAGGATGCGCACCGGGAAGCTGGAAACACACACGCACACACACACACACACACACATGGCTGGACTCGTGGGGGACATGTAGAGGCCGCGCGCTGGATGCACGTATGGAGGGCTGGCATACCCTGCCCAGCGCTGCGAGGGCGTGCGGCCACGTGCATGCCCAGCTGGCGCGCAGGCTGGCCGAGTCGTGGGTTTCCAACGTCCCTGCTATACCCCGAAGCTCCACAGCCCTGACATCCGACGTCGTGTCGCGTTTTTTCCACAAAATGGCTCCTCAGAAATCTGGATCCCTTCCCCCAGACCGGCTTTTCGACCCCAGTCGATGTTTGGGGCCCAGCAAGGGCCCACAGAGACCGAAAACTACCTAAAACCTGTCGCCGTTTCTGATACGGAGCGGAGCGGGGCAAGGCGAGGCGAACGCGCGGTACCGCCAGGAGCGGGGCCCTTGGGGGCCTGCGCGGGGGACCGGACCCCTCAGTTTGTAATGTCCGTGTGGTGGCACCCCATCGCATACATATATATATATATATATATATATACCTATACGACCACCCTTCGGGTGATAAGGAGGTTCGGGGGGGGGGAACCAACGTCTCACTCGATCGGTCTCACTATCGATCTCAGTATCGATCTCACTATCAGTCTCGCTCGATCGATCTCACTCGATCGATCTCACAATCGCTCTCACTCGATCTATCTCATTCGATCGATCTCACAATTGATCTCACAATCGATCTTACAATCGATCACACAATCGATCTCACATTCGGTCTCAATATCGATCCCACTATCGATATCACAATCGCTCTCACAATCAACGTCATCATCATCATCATCATCATCATCATCATCATCATCATCATCATCATCATCATCAACATCATCAGCATCAACATCATCACCAACATCGTCATCATCATGAGGGCACCGTCATCATCATCATCATCATCATCATCATCATCATCATAAACATCATCATCAACGTCAGCATCATCATCGGGACAACATCATCATCATCATCATCATCATCATCATCATCATCATCGTCATCATCATCATCATCACTATCATCATCTCATCATCAACATCATCATCATGGGGACACAGTCATCGCCATCATCATCAGCAGCATCAGCATAATCATTATAACCAGGACACCATCATGATCACCATCGTTCTCATCATCAACATTATCATCAACATCGTCATCATCCTCGGGACACCATCATCATGATCATCGCATCATCATCATCGACATCATCATCAACAACATCATCATCATCATTGGGGCACCAGCATCATCATGAGCAACATCATCATCAACATCGTCATTATCATTATTATCATCATCGGAACACCATCAGCATCACCATCATCATCATCATCAACATCATCATCGGGACACCATAATCATCATCGTCAACATCATCATCATCAACATCATTATCGCCGGGACACCATTTCCATCAACATCATCATCACCAACATCATCGGAACCATCATCATCATCATCATCATCATCATGATCATCATCATCCTCATCATCGGGACACTATCATCATCATCATCATCGACACCATCATCAACATCATCATCATCTTCATCGGGACACCATCATCATCATCTAATCATCATCATCATCATCATCATCATCATCATCATCATCATCATCATCATCATCATCATCATCATCATCATCATCATCATCATCATCATCATCATCTCGCGGGACACCGCGGGACACCGGCGGGACACCGCGGGACACCGCGGGACACCGCGGGACACCGCGGGACACCGGCGGGACACCGCGGGCCACCGGCCGCCCGGAAGGGAGACATTTGGTCCGGCCGCGCCTCAGCCACACGGGACACCAGCGGGACACCGGCGGGACACCGCGGGCCACCGGCCGCCCGGAAGGGAGACATTTGGTCCGGCCGCGCCTCAGCCACACGGGACAGCAGCGGGACACCGGCGGGACACCGCGGGCCACCGGCCGCCCGGAAGGGAGACATTTGGTCCGGCCGCGCCTCAGCCACAGGAGACTTTTTCTCGCCCGCCCACGCAGCTTCGCCTCGCCCGCACGGCACGCACGAACACGAAACCGAAATCGATTTCCCGGTAGGGGGGCTCTCCGTTCCACTTCGATCTCACCCCCTCATCTCCGATATATACATACATACATATATACATACATACATGCATGCATGCATGCATGCATGCATGCATACATACATACATACATACATACAGACAGACATACATACATACATACTAGAACCATCGCGCGCGCTTCGCGCGCGCTCAGGTTCTAGCAGCCCCCAGGCCTTGACGAATTCACTGCTCCACTGAAGTAGTGGACCACAGTACACGCATGCCATATCTGCACTCCGAAAGTCCTTCGAGAAAAATGGTTGTGTAGGGGGGCGGAGGCCGTATGAATCGGGTTCCCAGAAGGCCTTCTGGGAGCATGGGTTTGGAGGCGTCTTGGGGAGCCTGTTGGGGCGTGCCGTCGTCGTCGTCGTCGTCGTCGTCGTCGTCGTCGTAATGTCGTCGTCGCCTTTTGGGGCGCGCCGTCGTCGTCGTCGTCGTCGTCGTCGTCGTCGTCGTCGTCGTCGTCGTCGTCGTCGTCGTCGTCGTCGTCGTCGTCGTCGTCGTCGTCGTCGTCGTCGTCGTCGTCGTCGTCGTCGTCGTCGTCCGTCGTCGTCGTCGTCGTCGTCGTCGTCGTCGTCGTCGTCGTCGTCGTCGTCGTCGTCGTCGTCGTCGTCGTCGTCGTCGTCGTCGTCGTCGTCGTCGTCGTCGTCGTCGTCGTCGTCGTCGTCGTCTTCGTCGTCGTCGTCGTCGTCGTCGTCGTCATCGTCGTCGTCGTTTCGTCGTCGTCGTCTTCGGTTCAAGAAGGCACTTGGGGCAACTTTGTGCGAAACGATCTGCGGAGGGCCGCGAGAAGGCGATCAATCATGTTCCCAATCAACTTCCCAGACAGCGCTCCTGTAGCATGATGGTACTTCGAAGCCTCCGGGGACTCGCGGGCCCATGATGAACCATGTCCCCGGAAGGCTTTCTGGGGACATGGTTTGTTGGGGTGTGTTGGAGGGTCTCTTGGATGTTCCCTGCATGGGGGCCCCTTGGGGGCCTCCGGGAACTCTCGGGTCCATGATGAACCATGTCCCCGGAAGGTTTTCTGGGGACATGATTTCTTGGGGTGTGTTGGGGGGCCTCTTGGGTGTTCCCTGGGAGCCCCTTGGGGTTCTCTTGGGGCTTCGTGGGGGCCTCTTGGGCGCCTCACGGGGCTTCGTGGGAGCCTCTTGGTGGCCTCCGGGGGCCTACAGGCGGCCTCTAGGGCCAGAGACCTCGAAATATCGGTAGGCGGTCCCCATCTGGGCCCTCTCTTGGGGAGCTCTTGGGGCACAGTTGGGTTGTCTGGGGAGCCTCCTGGGCAGTCTTGGGGCCCTCTTCAAGGCCTCGTGACCCGTCTTGGAGAGATCTGAAGGGCCTCCGAGCGAGGCCGTGAGGGAGCGCTGGGAAGCGGGGAAAGCGAGAACGCCTAAATCCTTCAAAAACCATTATCCCGGCAAAGCAACCTAACAGCGATGTGTATAAGCATATCTGGAAGCATTCAAGTGAGAATTCAGTTGTAGAATTCTGCTGTTCTCGCAGTCGCAGTCGCATTCGCAATGACAGTCGCAGTGGCAACGGCCGTAGGATCCAATGGAATCCTAAGAATTCCTGAGGATTCCTAAGGCATCCATAGGCATCCTTAGGAATCCATAGGAATCCTTAGGAAACCTGATTGCTAGGGATTCCTAGGGATTCCTAAGGATTCCTAGGGAATCCTAGGGAATTCTAAGGATTCCGAAGGATTCGCTTGCCTCAGCCTCAGCCTCAGCCTGCATCAGCCTCAGCCTGCCTCAGCCTCAGCCT